AAAAAATTAATTGTTCTGCAAGGCCAAGCTTAAAGAGAAAAGTAAAATGTTTCTAAAAATCATGGTGACCACGCCATTCATTATTGACTAATAATATTAGGCGTTTTTTAGCTGAATTTCTGAATCAGCTGGAAGGTAAATTTATAACGAAATGCGACAAACAAAAAAAAGCAAAAAAATGTTCAAAAATGCTCGATAAATGCGTTTTTATCAAACATTTCAACGAACGTAAGACTTTGGTAAAAAATTGAGAAATTAAAAGAGACCTGGAAAAGCCACAAAAGGCATTCGGCCGGAAAAATGCTTCATCATCCCTTCCTCATCATCGCCGAGGACATCAACAAATTGCCGTTCCGCTGCAAACAAGAGAGCTTTTTCTTGGGAAAAATCGTAGAGGCATAATAAACTTCGTTAAGCTGAATAAGCCAAAATAAATTTTGCACTTAAAACAAGCCCCAATCCCAATATACTCTGCAAATGCAGAGCACGTGCAGGACGCGAAAGCCCACGTGCAGGACACGAAAGGCCACGATTGTGCATGTCCGGACATGCACAACCGTGGGCCTGGGTGTCCTGCACGTGGACCATCGTGTCCTGCACGTGGACCACGGTGTCCTGCACGTGGACCCCGTAAACAAGTCAACTTCGTAGTCAACCGGAAATCAAATATTTCAAACACCGTTCAAAGTTTTTTTGCATTCTTTTTGAAAGTTCAACTGCTTTTATCAATGATTCCCTCATCAACTCGGTTTCGAACCGGAAGTTAGATGACAATGCGAGAAGTGGCGAGGACGATTTTTCACAGGTATGAATGTTGACTAAGATAAAAGGGTCATAGATTGTGAAGACAACTACATAATCGATCGCCCATCCAAGCAGCAATGTGTCTACAATGAAGTCCGAGTTTATTTAACAACTTGCAGATGTGGCAGGTCTTTTTGAACGTTTTAAAATGGCTCGGGGTGAAAAATTTTGTGGATCTACTCCATAAATAATTATACAGGGTGGTCCATAAGTATTGTCGTTTTTCGAGGCGTCATATCTTTTCCCACTGGGTGATTTCAGCCATTTAGCCAAGTAGGTTAGCTTAAGACAAGCCTTAGAAACCACTTTGCTTCAGAAAGTTTTTTGGAATAATGGTTTCTAAGGGAGATAATTTGTCTAAAGTGGGCGACAAAAGTTTGGGGGTGCGCCGCGCCAGAATTTCGGGAAGAAGGGCTCTAAATCCAGCGATTGAGAGTCAGGATGTTTTTCCAGCGAGTTATGGTAGCTTCAGCATTGTTCTGCATTTCCCCAAATGGAAATCTAAACAGCTTGTCGCTTGAAGGAGCTATGCCCTCCGCAATGTTGGACGAAAATCCGCAAATTCAGGGCATCCCCGTCATTTTTTAGTTATCGAAGTTTTATTTCTTCCTGGGACTACCCGGGGGCAATCCTAAATGGTATTACTATGCTACCTGACGTTTTCTTTTTAATGGCATATTGAGCTAGGCTTCTATCACTTTTCAGACTTTGATTTGAACTAAAACTGGCTGGTGCATGCCACTAGACAAAAATCTCGGTTTTCTTGAACTTCATGTGGAATTCTGCGCTTAAAATTTGGGAATAGTTGAAAAGAAGCCTTAGCTATACCCAAGAAAAATGTCACAGTTTTCCCAGCTTTCTAGCAGCCACGATCTCAGTTTTACATACGGGTAGGCCGAGGGCGGCGCACCGCGTTCGCCGAAACTTTAAATAGCGCTTGCTCAAAAACGGAGATGCGAAAAATTTTGTTTGGAAATTCTGCTAGCAGAGTTTTACTTGTTCTTTCAATTGTAAAGGCAAATTTAGTGAATAAATAATTCTTTTGTCGCCAGCCGAGCCTCGCAAAAGCCATTTTTAAGCTGAAATTTGGAGGTTTTTTAGAAACTATGTGCTATAAGCTCGATTAGATACAGCCGGCCAAAAGGCGCGACAATACTTATGGACCACCCTGTATTGAAACATTATCTAGTAATGCCCACTGTCAATGGTAGGTTTTAAGATGCAATGTATCATAAAAAGCGTCAGCATAGGCTGCAATCCGTGGTAAGAATTGTTATTTCTATTGATCAACCATAGTTTAGTCGCGCCCCCAAATGTTCAATTTGACGATTGGTAATATGATTTCATCTATTATCGGGATTGGTTATAAGGTATGCACCCATATGCTTAGAGCTTTATTTAAGGGTATTGTACAATTTGGTAAGTTGTATTGTACAAGTACGGTAAAGGCTTTGACAAGAAAAGTTTAGATGGTTCTTCTACCTCGGGCTACGACGGAGTGCGTATTATGAATATTTCAACTGTCAGTGTTTCTATGATGTTTGTTGATTGTGTTGATAAACGTATGCTTTAGTATACCATTGGAATCGAATAAGCACAAAAGAAAGCTATGATATTAATGCATTAGTACAGCGGGCAGCCTGCTCTGTTTCGGATGGCGCGGCTGCCAGCACACAATCGGCGCGGCTGCCGAATGTCGCGCGGCGCAACCGTGCCGTGGCACGCCTGCCGGCACGCCGCGCCGGCAAGCGGGCTAAAAATGGCTTTGGCACGGCTGCCGGCACACCTAACGCTTATTTTACAGCATATAAAAATAGAATTGCTTATTTGTTTTTATTGGTTTTTGGCTAGCTGTTGATGCATTCGATCGTCGCCATCGTGTAGTTGAAACGAGAGCAGCAGCAATAACTAAAATAGCTGGTTTCTTTCGCTTTCTATTGTCCATCGATCGGAGTTTACGGTTTTTTCTTGTTGAACCTACGATTAGACGTTGATGATATGCGTGTAGCATCATGTAGCGTTGACCTAGTAACGGTATGCTATTCAATGATTGTTGGAGCGGGTTCAAAAAGACTTACTTTCCTATTCCAGTCCCTGCAGCTTGTCTTCATTTTAGCAAGTTACCGAACAGCATTGCCGATCGAAAAGTTTCTACCTAAACGCAGTTGTATCTGTACTCAATTATACCTGCTATTATATTTTCGACCTTGAAACATGCTGATAAAAGATGAGAGTTTCTTGCCTCGTACTTGTGTTCTAAAGGTTTCACCTGAAATCTCGAGCGGATAACAAACGTATTATAATCATACGTAAGTAAGAGGCCGCGTACCTATTCCTTCTTGAACAATACATAAATGCTGCAATATAATAAGTTCTGAAGAATTGTTATGACTAAAACAATAGTTAGCGCGCGGCCAAAATTTTTTTAAGTTATGATGCGTTGCGACTCAGCGACAGCGGTCTGCCGGCAGCCGTGCCTTGCAGCTGTGCCGGCAGCTGCGCCGATGATATGCCAGCAGCCGTGCCAAATCTGGCCTGTTTGCCGCCTCCCGAGGTGTGCGGGCAGCCGTGCCAGAAGCTGTGCTAGCAGCCGCGCCGAGTTTTGGTTCGCCAGCAACCGTGCAGCAGCGCCAGCAGCCGTGCCGGTGGGCGTTACCGTGCCGGCAGGTGCGCCCCTCGCAACAGAGTGGACAGTTCGATACGGTGGGCCAGTGCAGCCCACGAAAGCCCACGTGCAGAACACGAAGGTCCACGTGCAGGACACGAAAGCCCACGTGCAGGAGACGAAAGCCCACGTGCAGGAGACGAAAGTCCACGTGCAGGACACGAAGGGCCACGTGCAGGACACGAAGGGCCACGTGCCTGGACATGTCCTGCACGTGGGCTTTCGTGCAGAGGGGCCACGTGGGCCTCGCGTCCTGCACGTGCTCTGCATTTGCAGAGTAGGGGGAAGAAGTTAGAGTTGGGTACGATACGTCATTAGGTGCGTAATGGTCTAGTGATGATTGCACACATCATATTTTTAAAAATCAGCAATTTTCGACCTTCAATTAAAGTTTTTGTGACTCTCTTTGTTAGGAAAAATTAGCATAGACCGGAAGTGGGGGTCGCCTATATAAAGAGAAGAAGGGATGTTTTTCATTTTTGTCATCTGAATTCAGGACAATCATGCAAAGGGTAGAATAGCATCGGGTCCAAGACGGGCCAGGGTTAAAAAGTCGTGAAGCGGCTTTTCAACCCTGGTTTGCTTCGTTAAATGTCTAAGCTAAACTAAATTAAAATTAAAATTAAAATTAAAATTTTGTAGCATAAAAAAATTCGTATCTTATACCTCCCTGTAATTACGCTTGTACCAAAAATCCCTGTAATTACGCGAGCATTTTTCTTTCGGGCTTTCCGGGGCCCTGTCTTCGGGTTTACACGCATTCACAGGGCGGCCGACCAAAACGGCTAAAGACCCCATTCACCTATCATTCGATTTTTATATAGTTTTCCACCAAAATATTCTTATCTTATCAGACTTTTAAACCATTGATAGTTTGCCCCCCCGCCAATCCGGTTAGGCCACGCAAACGGGGGCGCCTATGGACGCGGTGGTTGCGTTGCGCCGACCGGCAAAATTGATTTGCCTTGAATGTTCCTTTACTTTTGGCGGTCAGCAAGGGGATTTTTCGTAAAATAACCATTGAAATCGAATTGCCCGTCTTCCAACCCATCTTTAATCTTCAAATCAGACCTATTGAGCTTGTTTTTCGCCCAAAAGAGTCAAAATCAAAAATCTTTAGCTGTCTGACCCCCAAAAAACTATAGAAAACGCTTTTTTTCATGTTTTATTCTAATCGTTATGCATAAGTAGGTAATATCACTAATTTAAAGGCAATTTTTGGCTAGATTCGATCGAGATTCAACTTCTTTAGCTTTTTAGCTCGTGAAAACACCATAGAAAACGCTTAACTTTACAATGGATGCTATTAATTTCAGTTAAAGCTTAGAGTAAGAAATTACAAGAGATAAGGCTCAAATTTTCCTTGGATTTAGCATCGCTAAAAACCCTAATTGAGTTTTCCCTTTTGCAGTTTTTTACCATCGTCTTCTTGCCTTTTCATGTCCTTAAGTTTAGCACAGTTCTGATCTCGAATTGAGCTATTTTTCTGGATAGATCTTCGTTTTTCAGGTAACCATAGCCAAGACCAGCGATGGGCTTCTTCTGCGAGCTGTGCCGCAAGACGTGCCACGGTTGTTCGTTGCGGGTGAAGCCGGGACTCGACGACATTGATCGCATCCTTCGCGAACTGGCGGCAAATGGTCTATCGCTGCCCTTTGGCTACGATATGCTGCGAGAAAATCCGAGGATTTGTGGATGGCACGTGCCGGAAGAGTATAAGCTGGTCAGTTTTGGGGTGTAGCTTATGGGAGTACCGCTAAAAAAGTTAATGTAACTGGCAAGTAGTTTTCGAGGTCGCTGAAAAAACCAGGATTGGCATTGTGCTGTGAAAACTAGAAATAAGTATAACTAACGCAGTAAATGGGGGCAGAACTTCGTTTTCTAGGTTTTTCTAAGGCAATCAATGCGTTCAGCTCAGCACGAAGGTAATAAATATGTTATTTGCCGCTTTCAAACGCTAGATACAACATAAATGAGACATTTTAGGCTAATTATTGGTAAAGTTGTCGCTTAAAAATGTCATTGTTTGTAGAGAGGCCGAAAGAGGAGCTACGACCCGGGGAGTATGGCCGTTGACCACGAGGAAGTGCTGGAGAATGGGAAGGCAACACCGCCAAATTCCTCAGCCTCATCTGTTCCAGTTTCAAAACCTAAAACACCCACTGTGAGGCATTCGTCTTGTCAATCTGCGAAGGGGGATAATTTTGCTTTCTGATTGGCTCAAGCTGTCAATTTAGTAAAGTTATCTTTATTTTTATTTACACAGCCGAAACAGAGAAAATAGCTCAGAATTTACCTCTAGTTTTAGCTGTAAAAGAAAAATATCATAAATTCTTTAGAATATCGGAGTGAACTCGCAACAGCAATTAAGTTGATGAAAATATACGAATAGCTTTGAGGGCTTGAAACGTTATTTTTTCGCTTATATATAACGCTCTTAAACTTTTAAACTTCTTCTTTCACTTCAGGTTTCAACCTTTATTTTCAGAGGCTTGCCAATTCCAACCCATCTACCTCCATGGCTGCATCACCCCAGGTCCCGCAATGCTCCGACGAAGAGGACGCGGAGGTTTTTCTTTGCTAAAAACCTATAAGCTTTCATTTTAGGCACTTTTCGACGAGACGTGCGAGGACAGGCATGAAGCGGTGGAGAAGCAGGATGAGAAAGATGAAAAAGAGGAGAAAGTCGAGGCCAAGGTACACCAATGATTCGTTTAGTGGACACTTTTTTAGAAAGATGTTGCCGAAACCAGCAAGGCCTACGGCTCGGACGAGGAGGACGCGGAGGTATTTTGGGCGCGTACGAGTCGGCACGGTCGGATTTCGGGAAAGGCTCGCTTTCGACTACGGCGATCCCTGCGAGCTAGTCAGAATTGACTTGATCCGCCCGTAGAACTATGATCCAGCACTTCCGGAAAAACTAAAATTTACGTCTCTGTCAACGGGTTGATTAGCGGGTTCTGACTAGCGCGCTGGAATCACCGTCGTCGATTACATAAGGGTGGACGCGAGCCTGATTCCAATTCCACTGTGCCAACTTGAAGCTCCGTTGTTAGTACTGAGCTTGATCGAGAGAAACGTATTTAAAAAACGTGAAATTTTTGACGATTTTCACAAAGTGTCAACGAAAAAATCTAAATTTATCGATACTTTTTCATTTCCAGGCCTTGTTCGATGACTCCGAATATCAAGATCCGGAAACCGATGCGAAATCCGAGGTATATTTTGTTGGATAAAAACTTTATTCATATTTCTTAGGTCAAAGCGGATTCGAAGAACACTTCAATCGCCGAAGGGCCAGTGAAAAAGGACGAAAATGGTGACGAGAAGGCGCAAGATGTCGTGCCGACACCCGTTAGGCCGGCGAAACCAAAGAGGGTCTATCATCCGAAGGTATAAAGGCGTAGATTTGCTTTTAAAGGAGTTTCAGAAGCCGGCTAACGAGCAGAAAGAGGGAATACCGCTTGAGACGATGGTTTGTCAGGTGAGATAATAGTTTTTATCTTTGTCGTCCATAGGGTCGACTCTAGAACAAAAAAAAAGGATAAAAGTTGCGTTTCAAGAAAGGACTGATGGACCAGTATTGCATTTTTGGTTTTCTGATCGATAAATAGACCTGCATCATATTTTTCCTTTAGTTTAGCGGATAAAAATAGCTTTTTTTTGCGCAATCGTAAAAACGGCTAGATTGAAGCGCATTCGAAGAGTCTATTGCGAATTTTACAATTTTCTTTTGGGTATCTGTACCTGAAACATAGTTTTTTTTATTCTTTTGGTTGACTGGCGATTTTTCTGTCTTTTGTTTCTGCATTATTTTGCTTGCTTTGAGCTTCGCACCTCAAAAATGAGCGAAAAGCAAGTTGGGCAGCCCAAATCATTTTTCTGATCGCTTTTCTGTGTTGAATTTTGCGTCTTTTTCTGATAATAATTCATCCTCAAATCGTAGAAACAAACAAAAAACTAATCAAATAACCTTTGGAAACCCTCAACGCAGTATTAATATATTTTCGGTTTTCCTGATAGTTTTCTAGGCTTGAATCATATTTTCTTTTGCTTGCGCCGTAAGAAAAAACATGATTGCGTGACGTTCTAGGGAAATAGGCCTCAATTTATCCAAATTCCAATTTTATCCCTTTTTCAGCTATGCGGCAAGCGGCTGAGCCATAAACGAACCGGGCACGATATTGTCTACGCACTCATCCAGCACTCCGTCAGCCACATCGACATCAAACCATTTCAGTGCTCCGGTACGTTGTTATACTTTGAGCTAGATTATATTAACCGCATGAAAAGGATTTTTTGTCTTTAGAGTGTGACTTCACGGCTCATCGCTCCGTCTCGATACCGTTGCACCGACGGGCGCAGCACAATGGCGTCGGCTCCGTGATTGACAATCGGTGAGGGGAATGTGTGTTACTGATGTTTCAAATTAGAACGTTGAATGCGCCTAATTTAATCATTACTAAACACAACACTTTTCTGGGTTTTTAGCTGGTTTTTCCAACTGCTAGCAATAGTTTTGGGACAGTCTAGTCCTAACGATAAGCGGAATTTTTCTCAGCATTCTTGAGAATCTATGCGGTTTTTGCAGCACGATTTATCACTTGTAAAAATACTTTTAATCGGGATTGTTATAAAAAACTGAGCGCGATTTTTGTGCTTATTCATACGCTTTTGTTTAGCTAAGTACTGGTTCAATGAAAGCTAGCTATAATTTTCTAGAAATTCTAACCGTTATTTTTTTTTGCAGCACGAACGTCTACTTTGCCAAGCTGAAGCTGCAGGCGATGAGGAATTTCCCGCTGCAAATGCACGAGGTCGAGAAGTATATGGACGCCCAGATGGCGCGGTTTAACGACGGGCTGTCGATTCATTTGGACGAGGAGCGCGAGGTGGAGAAGAATCAATGTCAGGTGAGGGATCTCTCTTTCTCTCTCTCTCTCTCTCTCTCTCTCTCTCTTTCTCTTTCTCTTTAGCTCTCGCTATAGGTCCGACGATAAATTATTATGATAAAATCTGCACTGACTCTCCAAATCTTTGAAACATCTTTGCAAATTTGAAGTTTTTCTTCTTTATTTTTTTTGGAATTTAAAATTTCGGAGAGCCACCGACGCTGAAGGGCCTGCGTTTTCTATGGTCGATTTTAAACCGTATACTAGAGGCTGAAAGACGTAGACGCGTCTTTCTTCATAAAAAGTCTCAGTTCAAATATACCGTAGTCTCATTTTTAGGAAACTTTGCGAGTATAGTTTTTTGCAATACGGGTTTCTTATTGTTGGCATTGGAGGATCTTCGATGTCTCTCCAAATTTTTGAAACATTTTGATCTTTGTGAATTTCCTGTTTTCAATCGTTACTACGAACTCTACGCCAATGTCTTTTTGACAATTACTTCTCCTCTCTCTCTCTCTCTCTCTCTCTCTTTTCTCTCTCTCTCTCTCTCTCTCTCTCTCTCTCTCTCGCTATTGCAAATTTTGTAATTCTTTATTATCTCCTGCATTTGACGCACACATTGCCTTTAAAAAGCTCAAAATTTTTGGTTCTAGACAGAAGGAAATACGAGCAGTCTAGATTCTTGTTTTTCCATTAAAAATACTCAATTTTTATGGGTTTTTTTCCAGCTATGCGGCAAGAAGATAACACTCCAGAAGGACCCTTGCATCAACACCATTTGCATCATGCAGCACTCGATGACGCATATCGACCATCGGCCCTTCAGATGTCCTCGTGAGTTAATTTATTATCATCTGGCGTTTAATTTCTGTTTAAAACTCAATTAATTTTCATAATTTTAGAGTGTAATGTCGACAATCGGGCAAAGGACGAGATTCGGAAGCATCAGGTCCGCATGCACGGCCACGCCGAAGAGGTTATTGACGGGAGGTAGCTTTTTAATGAGTTTCCTTAAAATCTACTCTTTTTTTTCTAGCTTTTCTGGGGTTTTTACTGATATGTTTTCTGGTATTAAAACGCAACTGCTAGATTTCTGTCGGTCGAGCAAATTTGTAAAGTTTAATCAACTTTAAAAACGCTTAAACACTGAAAATCGCTTTTTTCAAAGCTGTAACTTTTCGACACCTTCTAATATCTATTTTTTAGGACTGAAGAGTACTTCACCGATCTGATCAACATGGCGCGCACAAACTTCCCGCTGCAGGTCGACGAGCTGGAGACGCGCATCGAGTTCGTGAAGAGCAAGCTGCGCGAGTTCGGCCCGATCAAGGCCAAGGCGGACCGGCCGTACAAGGCTTCGGACAAGACGCCCGCCGACAAAACGGCTCAAAAGACTGAGGTATGGGAAAACGGTGTCGTTGTTTATTGCAGTTAATTCAAAAAAATTTCGAAGTTTCCGAATTTATGGCTATTCAGGGCAGGCTGGCAGGTAGCTTTTAGGAATTTGACCAAAAACCGCGGTTGGCTAGCAAATATTCTTTTGGAATTTGGTTCGAAATTCATTGACTATAGGCAATTTTAAAAAAATCTACACCAAAGATCCGGAAGACTTTAGGAATTTGTTCAAAAATCAAGGCCACTGGCAGGGATTTTTCAGGGATTTAATGCAAAACCCAAACACGTGCCATTACGATCCTCGAAAATTCGAGGCAGGCTAGCGGAGGTTCTTTGGGGGTTTTTGTTCAAGATCAATAAAAACTAGCGAGGTTTCTTTAGGAATTTGTTCTAAATCGAAGGCAGGCTTGCATGCATTCTTTAGGAAATGATGGATGGAGATCTGCCGCTCATTAATTATTTTCCTAGTCTTTTCTGTACGAGCTAAAAACCGAAACACCTTTTTCAGGACTCTGCCTCACCCGTGAAACGCCGCCGCTCCCAGCGCCCACGCAACGACAATGCACTACAGGCGTTTTATAGAGAGTTTGGCCTCGGAGGTACTGAAATTTTAATTATTTTAATGACGTTATTTTGAGACATTTCCCCGAAACCGTCAACGAGTCGAGGACGGGGGAGGAAGCAGCACAGAGAAGAAGAGCTGGACCAAGAGAATCCTGTCGAGCAACCCGAAGACGTTCAGGAGGTTTGTGGTTTTTATGTGTATTTCTGCATCGTTGATTTATTGTAGCCATTTGAAAACACTTCGTTGCAAAAAGATTTCTTAATTTTTTGATTTTTCTTAATTTGCAATTTCAGGAGTCGGCGGAACCTGCCGAATCTGCCGCCTCGCCGCAGGCCCCTTCCCCCAAAAAGAGCCGGCTGACCGAGATTTTTGGTTTGTTTTATCTTGATTTATTACTTTATTAAGGCTTATTTTCTTTTTAAGCTAGCAAATTTTAGAAATCCGTGTTAGAAAAGCAAGTTTCGAATGGAAAACGGGGTTTCTCACTTTAAATAGCCACAATGTCCCTTGCTTTCTGGTTCATGTTGTTTACAATTAAATTTTATTAGGACCTATGAGGAGTCGTTTAAATTATTTTGACCGATTAGACACTTTTACGAAATTAAGGACTCAAGAAAATTCTTTTTGAATAAGATTTTAATTTTTTTTTTACAGGTGACCTTCTCGCTGCCGCCGGCTCGTCGAACGATGGTGACGGCGCCCCGCCGGAATTTGTAAGCGATTTATTTTTGTTATTTGCGTTAAACCAGTAGATTATTATTTAAAAAAATTAAAAAGATTAAAACTGCTAGACTATGATAATTAAAAATCACTTGGGAAAAATTTGTTATTTTTAGGAGTCCACGGTTGATGACGAGCCGGCCCGGATCGATGCGCTGATGGCACTTTTTGGTGAGCTTTTTCCAAATAAGGCCACGGCAAAACGGAAACTAGCAGGCTCATTTTGAAAATATAGTTTTTGATTCTTGAAACATTTTCTAGTCGGCTTTTGACCGGGAGTGGGCAGAATTCGTTGGTTCTTTCGTAGTATCGTAGGGGAATTACTTTTTTTTAGCAACCAATTTTTCAAGCGTCTGCTTCAATTAAAAATGTCTACAGCCTCTGTTCTACCTATTAACTTTCTTTTTCCAGGCCACCCGCCAACCTAGAAGACGTCACCAAAAGCTTGGCATACATTTTCATTTTTTGCTCTTTGCAATCGGTTGTTATTTTGTTATTTCGTCCCGCATCCATTCCATCATTAAAATTTTGAGATGTATAATAAGCAATCATCTTTCAACTCGGTGGATTTGATCCGTTGTTTGTTATGTTGTGTTCAATAAAGCGGGAATTAGAGAAATGATCGCCGCCCCAAATTAGGTATTGTCACAAAAATTCAGCTTATCCGGCCCGGTAGTTTTCGAGATAATTTTTGAGGTACGAAACTTTAAAGTCAAATTTAACTAGGAAAATAAACTTTTTAGAATCTCAAAATAGGGCCACCCTACTAATTCGACTATGTGACAAGCCATACTTGGGGCCGTTCGAGTGGCGTATGCTTAGGCCTAGCTTTTAACATCGATTATCTAATAAATAATTTTCGCACAAATTATCTTTTCGGCACACGGTCGAAACACATTTTTTTAAGAACCGCCCCCGTCTCCAAAACTTTTGGCCGGTTTTTCAGACATTGGCGCGACGTTCAAGCGCAGGTTGGTCGGGACCGAAAACGGCCTACCGAGCGAAAAACTGGGCATTGATGCCGAGATGCGGTTGCATGGATCCTGACAATCGACATTGAGGGAATTTTTTTGAAATTTAGGTGTTTCAAAAAAATTTCGTGTGCCGTCCCTTCATACACCAGTATTACTGGATGATTGCTAGTTCTGAATATGCTAAAAAGATATATAAAGCCGCTTGCCTTTTCCAATAGACTTTTAGGCGTCGAGTCTGACGTACTGCCGCTGCTGATCGAGCAAACACAAATTTGCCAGGCGATTTTTCCGGTTTTGTGAGCAACTGCGGGTCCCAAAAAAGTTAAAAAGGTGTAAAAAGGAAATTCACTTCATCGAAAATAATTTTGTCGAAATATCATTTTGTTGTAGTTTATTTTTGACGAAATTTCAATGTCTTTTTGCCTCAATTATTCATCCCAAATCTTGAGAACATTTCGACAAAACGATTTTTGCTGAAACGGAAATAAGACGAAGGCAAGGGAGAGAGAGAGAGAGAGTGAGAGAGATAGAGAGAGAAAATTCACGGGCGTGCGTTGCGGGTGGCCGGCTTGTTGCAGACGCTCGGCAGAGCTCGGTTTTGATTGTTCAGGTGGGCAGAAAAAGTATATTTTTATTGATTTGAAAGTCATTAAAGAAAAAAGCTCAAATTTCACTAATAGCTTGGAGCTTGCGCAGAAATAAAAAATTTTTAATCGAACCAGCATGATGCAAAGAAAAAAATGTGTTTCGTAAAGTTTCTAGGGCCGTTAGCTTGGAAATAAAATAATGATATTCGATACGACTTGATAGCAATAATTAGAGAAAAAGCGGGATATGTGGGTCCGGTCTGGGATGAAAAGCCGTTAAAGAGATGCCGACGGCATAGTCAATCGGTTACGCGCTGGAAAGAAAATGTATTTGCGCCTCTCCCCTGGGCGCGCTCTCTCCCCTGTTGGCACTTGTCAATTTGTTGATGAGGGGGGATCGACACATGCCGTCGGCAGCCCTTTACAAATCCGGGAGAAATACACCTGAGAAACTCAGCTCCATTAAAGCAGCTCTTTTTTGCTCAGACAATTGCAGAAAAGAAACATTTTTACACTACCTGAATAATTTCAAAATTGAATGTGTTTCGAAAAATTATATAAGAGACGCATGTGACTATACATGGGTCGACGCGTGCATGCGCCGCATAAGCGTGACTCGCCACGCTCTTCTGGAGCGTGGAGACCCACGCTTATGCGGCGCTTTATGCGTGCTTTTTCACGCGCGCAGTTTAACTCCAGAAGCAAATCAGGAATTCAAAGGACATATATCTACGATTTCGATTTGCTAAAACGGATTACCGATACATAACTATCAAGTTCATCTTTGAATTTACATAAATAAACATCATAGGTAGTGATTCAACTTTTTGTTACTTAAATTCTTGACAACAGATCGATTTTTGCCTTCATATGATTTGGAAAATTTTGATTTTGCATCTTTGAAAACTTTGCATAAGTGTTTCCGGAGCGTGGCGGGCCACGCTCATTGCGGCGTGGTTTATTAAGAGGCACGCGCGCCAGCGTGGCTCTCCACGCTCCGGAAGAGCGTGGCCAGCCACGCTTATGCGGCGCATGCAAGCGTCGACCCATGTATACATGTGACACAAGCATTAATCGGGAGCCCTGTTGGTAGGTGGCTAAGCAATTGAATTAAGTATTGGTTAAATTTTTTGACTATAGTTCCGGATCGATCTCTCTCTCTCTCTCTCTCTCTCTCTCTCCCACTCTCGCTCTCTCTCTCATTCGCTCTCTGCCGAGTACGGTAGCGTACCTACTTCCGTTTCCCCACCCTACCCTTCCGATCCACAGCCCCGAACTTCCCGGTCCCTTTAACCTGTTCCACTGCTCATGCTCATTTACTCGTGCTCCTCTTCTCTTCCTCTTCCTCACATATTGTCACGTATTAGTTCGACATCAAATAATTGCTGTCGATGTCTTTTCGAGGACTTTGATGCCAGAAATGAGCCCGTTTTGGGAGGGAAAGTACGAAGAATTCCGCACCTACGGAAAGTGCGCCCAGAAATTGCACAACAAGCACAAATAACCGCCAAGCAAGCACGTAGCGCATGTATTAAGAAAATCTAACATTTCTTTACAAAAAGAGTAACTTATGCATAAAAATTAAATCGCTGTCTACGATTTCCAGACGGGGGGAATGCCATTGCAATAAAATGTTTTGTCATTTTGCATCGACTCATGGTTCCGTTGGACAACAATTGGGCGTTCGACACGCGTATAAAGCATCAAAAATCAAAACAGACTACGCAAAACCGAGAACGTCGCTGTAAGGGTATCAAAACTTAGCCAAATTGCATTTTGTGCAATTTTTTACTCTAATTTTATATTCTGGTATGAATAGAAAGCTGATTACTTGAGTTTTTCTATGCCTCCCTGTCACCTTAAACTCCATCTTCGCAAAAAAATGTTTCGTCCACTTTCAGAGCAGCGTGATTCAGTTCCGTGCCAATTCAGATAAGCTGCGTCATACTCCACACAAAAATTGGGCCATAACTTCGTGGGCCGATTGGCCAATTCCATAAAGTTTTCTTATGTGGAATCTATGAAACTAGAAAATTTAATGAAATCTTAAAAGAGCTAAAATATACGTCAGACAACTTGAAATACATCTTAATTTAAAAATCAAAAAGATGGCAGATTAAAGGAAAATGAAAGCGTTTGAAGCGTGCGCTACGGTATAAGTCAAATATTGAAAACGTGCATCAATAAAATGTAATGCCGTTAGGATTTAAAAAAAAATCAGTAATTTTGCAGTTACGATATCAACGGTCTGCTGTACGGGCTGGCCGACAACGTAGTCTGCGTAAACCAAAAACGCCAAAACTTTTTCGATCCAGGCACTTTTCTGAAACATAATTTTAAGAGTGATTAACCTGCTGCCATTTGTCGAAGCTGTGCCTTACAAAATCGAAAATACCGGCCAATCTCCGCCAAAATACTACTTAAGTCATAGCTCCGAGCCAGAGTCGATTCTGAGTCATCCGCAAAACGGTTCAAGACATAGCTCATTCGATAGAGAATTCAATGCTCAGCCTATCATGCGTGGCGATTCTTCTTGATCTTGACATTTTAGTGAAACACCTTTATTTTTCATTTTTTTCAGATTATCCTTTTCGAAAATCCAGTGTTTAGCAAGCCCTGAATTTCGAAGCGGGATTCTCGTAGTATCCCATAGATGCCTTGAGGCCATTTAGCGTGTAGCCACTCGAGGACAATCCCGCACTCCGCACACTGTGTTCTATTGTACGCCCTACCACAGGGAAGAGGGGGATGGGGACATTTTGAAGAGTTGCTCCCTCCCAAAAGACTGACAGTCAGTCAGCCGACCTGATTTTCGAGCCGGACCCCTCAGCCTGAGCCACACCCCATGCTCCAAACGCGGATTACAGGATTTGTGTCCCCTACAGCAGGGTTGAAAAGGTCATTTGGCATGCACCGGAAACGATGGACTATTTTCTGGTTAAACAAACAGTAAGAAAATACAAAAACAAAAGTTAACACCAGAGTTTTAAATTACCGTAGAATCCTTACTGTAATTAAGTCAATGAGAATTTTAATTTTTTTTAGTAAGGAAATAACTATGTTTCAACTAGAAAAACTATCTTAAAGGTTTTAAAAAGTTTTGAAGTCGACATTTTCGTAAAAATCGGCCATTTTCGGTTACAAAATTGGTAGTTTTGAATATTTTAATAAAATTTGGTAGATTGTATTGCTCCGCCTGCTGATAATGTCAAAGAAGCATTTAATTAAGACCTTTTAGCATCGGCCATATACGTTTACGTTAATACGTTTATCTTTGCCAACAACACTCTTCCGTAAACTTTTGTATGTTTCAAACTACCTAGTTAAATGCGGCTTCAAAACCTGAATCATGAAGAAATATGGAAAACGTACAAAAATAATTTTAGAGCGTTGATGAACCGGATCGATTGTGACGGAAATTACAGTGTTGAAAATTCATTTGAGGCAAAACATATGTTTCAAAAACCACCGGCTAATTGTCGAGAAGAGATTCTGCAATTCGTACCAGCAACGTAGGCAGAGCAACCAGCTGAATTAAGAACTTCCTTAAGTCGAAAGATTTCGATCTGTTAAATATCTGCAGACCAGACAGCTATGAGTAGATTTTGTGGTAATTAAATTCGAATTTTAAGGGGCCTGTAAAAAAATTCCAGTGTCGAATGAAAAAAAATTTTAATTAGGAGTTTCAGAATACATGATATCTGTTCCGACGCAAAATAGACACGTCTGAAAGCCCAACTCGGGACGGGAGCATGGTGCGAAAATAAGTGTTTCACGATTTTTCATTAGCCGCTACAGGCAAGTCCTTTCAATTTTGGTTGATTGCGACCAGTGAAGGAGTAAAAATCAGCCCGGAATTTCGTC